CCGAGTATTCAATATAATATATTTATATATATATATAAATTGTATATATTTATTTAACTAGTTTGCTCGCAACAAACATAATTAATTTTTGCTCATTTAGCGAGTGTGTGCGAGTGTGTGTGCGAGTGTGTGTGTGTGTGTGTGTGTGTGTGTGCTAGACATGTTACCGAAAACCGAAAGTGTCAAGGCTTATAAACGTCAGACATAATTATGCCTGCAGGATAATTGTTTAGACACATGAGCATAATGAAAACATGACATGGCATCCTGCGAGGATCAAATGCGCCATATATATATATATATATATGCATGTGTGTGTGTGTGTGTGTGTGTGCTTGTGTGTATTGGCCTCTGCTTGCCTACACTGGGGCATTAGCAAGCGCCAAAGGCAGTAAGCGTCAACGTGTGCGGCATGCGGCATGCGGCATGTGCGGCGCCAAGCCTAGCACCCTTACCCACCCCCACCCCTACCCCCACCCCCACCTCCCATCTGCCCACTCAGCAACACAGTGAAGACCGTGTGGCAAGCAGCGGTATATGCGAAGCCCAAAGACAATGCTGAAGCTGTTGCCCCAACCCCATTCCCAGTCCCAGTCCCAACCCCAATCCCAGTTCCAGTTCCAGTTCCAGTTCCAGTTCTAGCTACAGTTTCACTTGTTGTTGTTTGCCACTCGACACTCCAAACACACACACACACACACACACACGCGCACACGCACACACACGGCCCTCTGTTGCCCACGCACACGTGTATTTTAATTACTGTTATCATTATGAATCGCATACACGACTAATTAGTGTGTTACACATTCATCTAGCTATTGTTCGGGGGGAGAGAGCTAAAGCCACACACACTTTCACACACACACACGTACACACACAGTCTAATACACAACCGCAAAGCTGACGCATGGCCCATGCTAAGTATTTAACATAATGAATACGCGTATTACGAAGGAATTAACATGACAGTTAACAAGTTAAGAGCGCAATAAATCCAGCCGCACGACTAACAAATGCCCTGTAAATAAAAGCACAAAACGCTACAAGCTGGGTGGGGGAGAGATAGAGGGAGGGAGAGAGTAAGATGGAGAGAGAGTGAAAGAAAGAGAGAAAGATAGCAAGAGCGTGAGATATAGAATGATAGAGAGGGTGAGTGGGAGAGAGAGAGAGAGAGAGAGAGACAGACAGACAGACAGAGAGGAATAGAGATGGAGAGGGAGAGAGGGATTTTAAGTTCGAATGAACAGAAATATAGTTTATAAACAAACCATAAGAACCGATAAGGCAAGTTAAATTCATGAGAATCGCATAGAAGGGCGATATTTATTATTACCACTTCCCAATCGAGAGTATTCAATTTTGCGAGTAGCGTTAAGATCGTATCAAATCGAATCAAATCTCACAAAGATCCTGCAAATGAGTTTGGTGCCAATCGGATGATGGTAAGGCAAATAATTCGCCTAATATCTACAGTTTCAGTTTAAATAAATTCAGACTTTGCTCTGACAATCTTTGAACTCAAGTTTCATTTTGTTGACGTGCATTTGCAACAAGTTTTAAAGCTCTTACGATTTGGTCTGCGCTTTGCTCGATAATCAGTCGGGCAGTCTTTATAGAGGATATTATAATATTGTCATGTAATGGGCGACATCTTTGATCTCATAAACTCTATATACTCTCTAGCAGCTTCAACAGTTGAGTTGATATATGTCTGAATTTAACGCAAGCTAGTCTCTCAGTCGGCAAACGTTGCATGAAACATTGCGGCCTGTACGTTTTGCCATAAGAAAAAACACATTTCACACATTTTCAAAAATGTGCGCCCCGAACAGTTCGTGTTCTTTATCGAGTTTCGTATCGATGTTATGAAAAATATAAAGATATCATTACCATAAACATTTACCATTTAACATTTAAATGCCAATGGAATACCAATATGTGAAACTTCAATATGTGACATTTCTTAAGCATGCTGGACAAAGGCTATTATTCAATTTGTTCGATTTGCATATTCAAATTTCACATTTAGCGCCATATACGGAACAGTTCATAATTTATCGCATCAAAGTGCCTATCGATATTTTCCTAACATTGACGCTAAAAATGCCAGCAGCATTTCAAATATGGCGCGCTATGCGTAAAAATACCAATACAAATACAGCAATATGTTGTTAATTTAGGCAGTTGTTTTAAACTAGACTGAGCTATTTTTATACCCTGTACCCATTTAAAGTGGGTAAAAAGGGTATATTGTATTTGTGCAAAATGCAAATGTATGTTACAGGCAGAAAGAAGCATCTCCGACCCTATTAAGTATATATATTCTTGATCAGCATCACTAGCCGAGTCAATCTAGCCATATCCGTCTGTCCATCCGTCCGGCCGTTCGTCTGTCCGTATGTATGAACCCAAGGATCTCAGAGCCTATAAGAGCTAGAGACCTGCAATAGATAAAGGTGCTTCTAGTGCCTGCGCAGATCGAGTTTGTTTCCGATAATCGATAACTTACTCCGTTTCCAAGAAATCGATAAAAATCGATATCGATATACTGTTTTTTGGGCAATTTTGGTAAATAATAAGAGCTAGAGTCAGCAAACTTGACATATAGCTTCTAGAATAGAATATATATATGCATTTGATGTTGGAATAAGAGGGTTCAGGGTATCCCCCAGTCGGCAGCTCCCGACTAGAACCACTTGCTTGTTAATGTATATTTTTCTGTTGATTGCAATTCAATTGCCAGGTTCTTCTTCGACTAGCAACGATAATTAAATACTATCGACTAGGATAGTTAAATACTATCGACTAGGATAGTTAAATACTATCGACTAGGATAGTTAAATACTATCGACCACACGCTTTCAACCGGCCGCCACATTTATTTACAATCGACATTTTGTACGTTCTTCTAGCTGCTTTCTCCCGCTCTGCTCCTGCTGTGTATCCTTGATGTATTGCACGTAAGTGGTATTTGAGTTTATCTTATCGATTTTTTTAAATTCACTTTCAACTCTCCCGCTGCCCATAGCTCAGTGCTGGGAGGCTCGTTTCTGCCGGCCTGTCACACACGTCCCAATCGTTTGCATTGCCAGGCAGCTCACCTTGAGTTGAACCCCATTGACTGCCTACTCCTGCGAAGGCAGTGCTCTTCCAGTTGGGGACCTAGCAGCATATTGACGCACCCGACTCGGTTAATCTCGGTCCCAAGTAGCAATAGTTCATCTTTACGCCGACTTCTCAGTGGCCTGTCGCGAGTTCCCTTTCCGTTTCCGGTCAGCAAAAGCAGAGGCAAACGCCAAAAGCTAAGCTAAAGCCATTCGCTTTTATTGTTGTGCTGTGCCCCTGTCCGTTGCGAACTGTTTGGCAGCAAAGAAAAAGTGCTGCGAATTTAGTTTAAGTAGTTGCCATGCAGATTGTAAGCACTTCCTGCGGCAAGGCAACGCATTTGCAGTATGCCGGACATCAGTTAAGAAGAAGAGCGAGAGAAAAAGCTTATGATTCCTCTTGGCGCAGATAATTGAAATACAAAGCAAGTATTAGGCTCGCAGCACTGATACTTACGAGTACAAATCAAGAAAAGGTATAACATTTCTAAATTATTTGCCTGAATTATCTCAGAAATATTAATTTATCGTTTCAGAATGCCATCTGTATGGTATATGGTCTAATGTAACTCTCTTTTTGTTTTGTTTCCATTGAGCAATATATATTGCCTTTGAGTTGTATTTTTTAATCCAATTTTTAAGAAAGCAGCAATTAAATAAGCTAAATAATATATGCATTATACCATTTCAGACTCCCGCGGGTAAAAACATGTTCATATGGAATACTGAGGTCAAACTAACAGACTCATTGAGTAGTAAATATATCTGCTTTTAACTCAATCTAACAGAGTGTTATATTATGAGCGACTTAAGCGGACGAAAAAACCGGCGCACAGAAAATAAGCAAGCGATCAAAATACGTGTGAGAACGATGCGGCCACATGCTTAGCATACACACACACACGTGTATGCGCAGAGATGAGCCACGAGAACGCCAAAGATAAGCAGTCAGCTGTTCGTGTGTGTGTTCGCTGTCATTTTTGTGCTTACGCTCACGCGCTCACGATTCAATTTGGTGCTGATCGCTGATTGGTCCAATCAATAGCTACGAAGGCAGCGAAGCTCTCGTCTGTTCGTGAGAGTGCTCTTCGTTTTGAGCGCCGTCCTCATGGACCTGCGCAACTTTATTCTGAGTCAGTGTGGTAAGTCAACAGGGCATGATATTGCTAGATGCGTGCGTTGATCTATTAAGCCTGTTATTATTTTGTTATGCCTTTTTGTGCATGTGGTGATGGATAAGTAGGTAAGTAAGTAGGCTTGGGTGAGTGTTAGATGGCAGCAGTCGAGTAAAGTTGCTTAACAAAAATAAGAAGTGCAAATTCTCAAGTAAATGCCATCGTATTCTAAAGTTAGACAAAAATGAAGAAGTCCATCGAATTAATAGACTTTATAGACTTTCACGCATATTGAAGTGTTTATTTAACTGTAATTTGCTTCTTCGTGAGCGCGTGATAAATAAGAACATAAGGCACAATCCATCATAGACACATACATACATACATACATATGTATGCATGTATGTATGTATGTATGTATATATTTGGCGATTCTCTCTGCATATGTGCGTATGTTTGGGCTTGTGTTTTCGCAATTCTTATCTACGTATGCTCGCTTGCGCGTTGTCTAACCTTGAACGGCGATTACGATTACGGTTATAATATCAATATCAATTGAAACATGTCGCCTTTTGAGGTTTTATCCAGATGGGGCAATAGTTACATTAAAGTGGTTCCTAAATGATTTGTCGGCTGTGAAGTCACAATTTCTGAGTACTCTTCCGATTTTGAAGAACTGAAGGGTCATTTTCTTCTGAAGTCGGACTTAATTTAACCGATATTAAAAGCTTGCAAAATACTAATTCTTTTTATTAATTTTTTTTTTTTAATTTTGCAGCTTATATGCCATGGACAATAAAACATTCACCTATGTTGGCACCTGAATGAGCTTGGTTATTTTATGCCATGGATATACCTTAAACAAAATCGGTTCTCAATTATGACCAAAATGAACATTTTGCCAATCTGCGTCGATTCGCAAATCAACAGATTTGAAGACTCACGAATCCTTAAGGGTAACATATGCACGCCCAAATTCGGACGTAATTAAACCGATGTATTTTAGTTTACAAAAACTATTATATTTTTCATTTTGCATTTTTCAGCCAACTCTGCCACGCCCATGGACAACATTTAATCAGCAAATGATCGCTATTTATGGTACCTAGTTGACCTAAATGTCCTTGGTTATTTCATACCATGGATATAGTCCTAGCGAACCTAAAGGACAAAGTTCTTACAGAATGCGTAGGAACAGGCTCCAAAATATGTATGCTTGTCTTTAACACCCGCCCCCAGCAACAGTCCCGCCCCCTAGATGGTCTCTAGTTGACTAGAATATACCTGGTTATACCATACCATCGATATAGTCCTTGGAAACCTAAAGGATCAGATCCCTGCAAAATGTGCATTGAAATGGTCCAAAAACATGCATGCTTTTTCTTTCAGGAGTTCTTTTTCATTAGCTGCAGCTGCAGCTGCTGTTTAACAGCCGGCTTACAGCACTCTTTTTACATGAACTGTTACTTAACAGCACTTATTATAAATGAGTTACATTTCTGCCCCTTAATGCTATGCAATGAAAATTTTTATTCAAAGAACTCGTCGACCTTCTGCGCATTTCTGTTCGCCTGGTATTTGAGTGGAATTTTAGTGCAAATTTGGGGCCCAGCCGGCCGCCAGGGCGCCCCGTGCGGGTATGCAATGGAATTTTTCGGCAGCTAAAAATATTGTATATCGACCTTCTTAGCATTTCTGTTCGCCTGGTATTTTTGGGAAAATTTTAGTAAAAATTTGGCGCACCCAGCCGGCGGCCAGGGCGCCCCGTGCGGCTATGCAATGGAATTTTTCGGCCGCAAAAATATTGTATATCGACCTTCTGAGCATTTCTGTTCGCCTGGTATTTTTGGGAAATTTTAGTTAAAATTTGGCGCACCCAGCCGGGGAAGAGGGCGCCCCTTTTGGGTATGCAATGAAATTTTTCGGCAGCTAAAAATATTTTTTGTCGACCTTCTGGGCATTTCTGTTCGCCTGGTATTTTGGCAGATTTTAAAAAAAATCTCGGCAGCCAGCGGCTGCCAACAGACGCCCCTTTCGGGTATGCAATAGGTTTCTAAAAACCGTTGATTTTTGAATTCTTAAATGAAACAAACAGCAATTTGGTTTTTTATTATAAATAATTTATTTATTTATGTTTAAATTTATAAATTTCTTGTTTTTTATGTTATTTTCTTAATTATTTATCTTAAAATTATACAAATCGAGCATAATGTACAGTTTTAACTTATTTAAACGTAAAATCTGGCTTAATTAATGTCCGATCCTGGAAAAATCTGCTTTTTCACTCGTGAAGGTCCTTAGAGCTTAAATAGTCCTTAATTTGTTAGTCTGAAAAGATAAAAACACATTTAAATTAAAGAAGGCAAAAATATATGAAGGCATTTTATGTAACGAAAAAAGGACATAACTCTGTCATGTCCTTGCAGATTTTCAAAGGACATGGTTTTGATTTTTGAACCGACCCCGAATTTGAAAAAAAACGAGATGTTAGGTTATGTCGTTTTGGAACGTCATATCTCTGCCTGGAGTTATGTCGTTTTGGAACGTCATATCTCCAACTGGAGTTATGTCGTTTTGGAACGCCATATCTCCAACTGGAGTTATGTCGTTTTGGAACGTCATATCTCCGCGCGATCAAAAGAGTAGACTTTACAAGAACCAATTGCTTTTTGGTCAACAACTTTTTGTGACCCATCGATATTTAATTTGTTTGAATGCAAATTCATATTAGGGTTCCGTACGAGTTCAAAAAGGTATATCATTTCCAAATCCGACAATATTTGCCCGAGATATCCAACAAAAATTATGAAAAAAGTTTTGATTTTCGAACCGACCCCGATTTTGAGAAAAAACGTGATGTAACCACTTGATTTTTGGTCGATTTGGGTCAAATTTTGGATTTTCAATTTTTTGATGCCAATCGATAGTACTGATCCTTACGAGCTCAAAATAGTATAAAATTCCAAAATCGGACCTTATTTGGCGGAGATACTCCGAAAAATCATCAAAAAAGTAGACTTTACAAGAACCAATTGCTTTTTGGTCAACAACTTTTTGTGACCCATCGATATTTAATTTGTTTGAATGCAAATTGATATTAGGGTTCCGTACGAGTTCAAAAAGGTATAACATTTCAAAATCCGACAATAAATACCCGAGATATCCAACAAAGAAGTATGAAAAAAGTTTCGATTTTCGAACCGACCCCGATTTTGAGAAAAAACGTGATGTAACCACTTGATTTTTGGTCGATTTGGGTCAAATTTTGGATTTTCAATTTTTTGATGCCAATCGATAGTACTGATCCTTACGAGCTCAAAATGGTATAAAATTCCAAAATCGGACCTTATTTGGCGGAGATACTCCGAAAAATCATCAAAAAAGTAGACTTTACAAGAACCAATTGCTTTTTGGTCAACAACTTTTTGTGACCCATCGATATTTAATTTGTTTGAATGCAAATTCATATTAGGGTTCCGTACGAGTTCAAAAAGGTATATCATTTCCAAATCCGACAATATTTGCCCGAGATATCCAACAAAGAAGTATGAAAAAAGTTTTGATTTTCGAACCGACCCCGATTTTGAGAAAAAACGTGATGTAACCACTTGATTTTTGGTCGATTTGGGTCAAATTTTGGATTTTCAATTTTTTGATGCCAATCGATAGTACTGATCCTTACGAGCTCAAAATAGTATAAAATTCCAAAATCGGACCTTATTTGGCGGAGATACTCCGAAAAATCATCAAAAAAGTAGACTTTACAAGAACCAATTGCTTTTTGGTCAACAACTTTTTGTGACCCATCGATATTTAATTTGTTTGAATGCAAATTGATATTAGGGTTCCGTACGAGTTCAAAAAGGTATAACATTTCAAAATCCGACAATAAATACCCGAGATATCCAACAAAGAAGTATGAAAAAAGTTTCGATTTTCGAACCGACCCCGATTTTGAGAAAAAACGTGATGTAACCACTTGATTTTTGGTCGATTTGGGTCAAATTTTGGATTTTCAATTTTTTGATGCCAATCGATAGTACTGATCCTTACGAGCTCAAAATGGTATAAAATTCCAAAATCGGACCTTATTTGGCGGAGATACTCCGAAAAATCATCAAAAAAGTAGACTTTACAAGAACCAATTGCTTTTTGGTCAACAACTTTTTGTGACCCATCGATATTTAATTTGTTTGAATGCAAATTGATATTAGGGTTCCGTACGAGTTCAAAAAGGTATAACATTTCAAAATCCGACAATATTTGCCCGAGATATCCAACAAAGAAGTATGAAAAAAGTTTCGATTTTCGAACCGACCCCGATTTTGAGAAAAAACGTGATGTAACCACTTGATTTTTGGTCGATTTGGGTCAAATTTTGGATTTTCAATTTTTTGATGCCAATCGATAGTACTGATCCTTACGAGCTCAAAATGGTATAAAATTCCAAAATCGGACCTTATTTGGCGGAGATACTCCGAAAAATCATCAAAAAAGTAGACTTTACAAGAACCAATTGCTTTTTGGTCAACAACTTTTTGTGACCCATCGATATTTAATTTGTTTGAATGCAAATTCATATTAGGGTTCCGTACGAGTTCAAAAAGGTATATCATTTCCAAATCCGACAATATTTGCCCGAGATATCCAACAAAAATTATGAAAAAAGTTTTGATTTTCGAACCGACCCCGATTTTGAGAAAAAACGTGATGTAACCACTTGATTTTTGGTCGATTTGGGTCAAATTTTGGATTTTCAATTTTTTGATGCCAATCGATAGTACTGATCCTTACGAGCTCAAAATGGTATAAAATTCCAAAATCGGACCTTATTTGGCGGAGATACTCCGAAAAATCATCAAAAAAGTAGACTTTACAAGAACCAATTGCTTTTTGGTCAACAACTTTTTGTGACCCATCGATATTTAATTTGTTTGAATGCAAATTGATATTAGGGTTCCGTACGAGTTCAAAAATGTATATCATTTCCAAATCCGACAATATTTGCCCGAGATATCCAACAAATAAGTATGAAAAAAGTTTCGATTTTCGAACCGACCCCGATTTTGAGAAAAAACGTGATGTAACCACTTGATTTTTGGTCGATTTGGGTCAAATTTTGGATTTTCAATTTTTTGATGCCAATCGATAGTACTGATCCTTACGAGCTCAAAATGGTATAAAATTCCAAAATCGGACCTTATTTGGCGGAGATACTCCGAAAAATCATCAAAAAAGTAGACTTTACAAGAACCAATTGCTTTTTGGTCAACAACTTTTTGTGACCCATCGATATTTAATTTGTTTGAATGCAAATTCATATTAGGGTTCCGTACGAGTTCAAAAAGGTATATCATTTCCAAATCCGACAATATTTGCCCGAGATATCCAACAAAGAAGTATGAAAAAAGTTTTGATTTTCGAACCGACCCCGATTTTGAGAAAAAAACGTGATGTAACCACTTGATTTTTGGTCGATTTGGGTCAAATTTTGGATTTTCAATTTTTTGATGCCAATCGATAGTACTGATCCTTACGAGCTCAAAATAGTATAAAATTCCAAAATCGGACCTTATTTGGCGGAGATACTCCGAAAAATCATCAAAAAAGTAGACTTTACAAGAACCAATTGCTTTTTGGTCAACAACTTTTTGTGACCCATCGATATTTAATTTGTTTGAATGCAAATTCATATTAGGGTTCCGTACGAGTTCAAAAAGGTATATCATTTCCAAATCCGACAATATTTGCCCGAGATATCCAACAAAAATTATGAAAAAAGTTTTGATTTTCGAACCGACCCCGATTTTGAGAAAAAACGTGATGTAACCACTTGATTTTTGGTTGATTTGGGTCAAATTTTGGATTTTCAATTTTTTGATGCCAATCGATAGTACTGATCCTTACGAGCTCAAAATAGTATAAAATTCCAAAATCGGACCTTATTTGG